GCCCTTTGATTTTATTATGCTTTATCTGAGAGCAAAGTTTGGCCATAATATTCTCAGTTCCTAAGGAATTCAAATATTTATCCAACTTAAAACTTCATGGAATATTGTCATTCTAGAAGTGGTAATTAAAATAATGAATAACAGTGAAAAAAAGTCAGAAGTATGATTCATAAATTAAAAATTCTGAAAATTTCTTCTACTCAAAGATATCTAAACAAAATATATTTATTTCTATGTTACAGGCAGATATTTCTAAATTTTTTTTAACATTCACATAGTTTAAGAGGAAACATTTTTCTAGTAAACATCAAAATAAAAATCTAAAAATACTAAGCAGAATAAAGCATTCTCTGAATAGAGTCACAATCAATTTTTATCATTATACATTTTCTAAAATTTTTATATCTAAGAAAGTTGGAAAAATATAGTTAACCAAATATCAAAATACCCTAAAAATAATGAATTGCAGTATTCTGGTTTTAGATCTACATTTTTAGATCTACCTCTAAATGTTTCAACCTCATTGAAACCTCATTTTTTAACCTTAAAATATTTTAGTGATTTTTAAAGACAATATCCCTTAAGACATCTTTAGGAAAAGATCTAACCATTCATTTACTTGGCTCAGTGGTAAAGAATTCGCCTGCCAATGCAGGAGACATGGGTTCATTCCTGGATACAGGAAGATCCCACACGCGGCAGAGCAACTAAGTCCGTGCGCTACAACTATTGGGCCGGTGCTCTGGAGCCCAGCAGCCGACTACTGTGCCCGCACGCTGCAGCCACGGAAGCCTGGGTGCCTAGAGCCTGCACTCTGCAACCACGCAAGGTTGTTGCGCTCTGCCCTGCTGTGAGCTGTCCCTGCCCTCCACAGCTAGTAAAAGCCTGGGCGCAGCAACCAAGACCCAGTGCGACCAAAAATAAATAAGTAAATAGTAAAAATTATCATAATAAAATAAAATTTATAGGGGGTAGGGATAAACTGTGAGATTGGGCTGGACATATAGACACTACTATATATAAAATAACCAATAAGAACCTAGTGTATAGCACAGAACATTGTACTCAGCACTCTGTAATGGCCTATATGGGAAAAGAATCTAAAAAAGGAGTGGATATATGTATATGCATACCTGACTCACCCTGCTGCACACCCGAAATTACATGAAACTGTACATCAACTATTCTCCAATAAAATTTATTTTTTAATTGGAGAATAATTGCTTTACAATATTGTGTTGGTTTCTGCATATATCAACAGGAATTAGCCATAGGTTTACATGTGTCCCCTCCCCTTTGAAGCTCCCTCCCACCCCCAATCCCACCCCTCTAGGTTGTCACAGAGCGTGGAATTTAAGCTCGCTGAGACACAGCGACTCCCCACCGCTGTCTATTTTCCATACGGTGATGGCAATGTTTAACTCCACTCTCCCAATCCGTCCCATCCTCTCCTTCCCCCCGTGTATACCCTAGTCTGTTTACTATGTCTGTGTGTCCATAAAAATTTTCAAATATAAATAAATTTATATAATTTAGTATGTATACTGGAAATATAGCTGGTTCTCAGTCATTACTTTTGAATGAATGCAGAGCCAACATATACCATCAGAGCATATTATTCCCTCTTAAATACCCTTCACTGAATTCTTTTGTATGGAGAAGTAGCAGGAAGGTTCTGGAGGCAGGAGATAGGGCCTGGAGGATGGTGCTGATGGGACTGTAGGAGTCTTTTTTTCTGTTTTGCCTACTAATGCTCCCTTTGTTGCCTATAATCGGCCTCTGGCTGAATATGTATCAGGGTGTATTGTATGTTCCTAAGGGTACAGATTTGGTGACTTTTAGAGCTGCAGTCCATCAGATTAAATATACACATATATGTTTTCATGTTGGGCTTTCCCAGTGGCCCGATGTTAAAGAATTCACCTGCAATGCTGGAGATGTGAGCTCGACCCCTGGTCCAGGAAAATCCCCTGGAGGAAAGCATGGCAACCCACTCCAGTATTCTTGCCAGGAGAATACCACGGACAGAGAAGCTTGACAGGCTACAGTCCATGGGGTCACAAAAGATTGGACATGATGGAGTGATTAAACCTGCCAGGCTCCTCTGTCCATGGGATTTTCCAGGCAAGAATACTGGAGTGGATTGCCATTTCCTTCTCCAGGGGATCTTCCCGACCCAGGAATCAAACCCAGATCTCCTGCATTGAAGGCAGATTCTTTACCAACTGAGCTATGAGGGAAGCCCCAAACAACAACAGGGTGAAAAATTGCCAGTCCCACAGAGCAGAGGAAGAGTGTGGGGCCTGAAAACTCAGCAGTGTGAAAGTGTGCTGTGTATCCAGTCACCCCTCTCAGGATCAGCAGAGCTTTCTTTCCATTTCCACTACTCCCAGTAGCTCTTCCAATCTCCAAAAGGTGGAAGCAGAGAACTATGCACCCAGAGGTGTAGGAACCCAGTGGTGCTTTCGAGACACAGGTGGCCACAGCTCTGCTCTCCTGAAAATGCTTAGGTGGTGTCAGTGCTTGGTCGCTCAGTCGTGTCTGACTCTTTGCAACCCCACGGACTCCTCTGTCCATGGGGATTCTCCAGGCCAGAGTCCTGGAGTGGGCTGCCATGTCCTCCTCCAGGGGATCTCCCCAACCCAGGGATCAAACCCACATCTCCCGTATTGCAGGTGGACTCTTAACCATCTGACCACCAAGGAAAATGGTTAGAAGCAGGCCTATTTTATCAGACTCAGGGACTAGGGTAGAAAGAATAACCTGGACTCTTTCGTGACATAGACCAGTGGGTCGTTTTATAGGGTATGACAGCATAGCTGAAATGTGTTTCTCAGGGGTACAACTCACATTATATACTATTCTTTTCTGGAATGTTTTCCACCAGACTCAAAGTAGTCATGATACAACTTTCCCTTCTGTAAAATGGAAGAAGTACCAACACATCTCACAGGGTTGGATCAAAATTTGTTCTTTGTTTATAAAGCCAGACACTAGTTAAAGTGGTCAGGACAGATTTTAATCAGTAATATACTATTACAATAGGAAAAGAGTCCAGGGTGAGCTGAACTCAACTTTCATTTGTACAGAGGTGATGGGGCTCTTTAAAGGGAGAACGAGGGAATGGGTAAGAGGATGAGGGTGTCTCAGCAGGGTTAGGGCAGTGAGAAATTATAAAAAAAAAAAAAACCCACAAAAGGAGGTTGATCCCTGTAAAACTCATATAGGTTTGCTAACTAGGGCTTATCAGAGTAAGACTCCTCCCCTCCTGCAGAGACCAAGAGACAGAGGCCGTGTCTCAGGTGTTGGATGGAAACAAACAGTAAGTTTTTTGACAACCTGGAGTGTTCTCAGGTAGGCACTTTAACAGGTGGCTAGGGTCATCCTGTGAATATGCTTTCAGCTGCCAGAAGCTGTTAGTCTTTGTTTACATCTTTATGGGCCAAGGTTGACAAGAAGAGGCTTCAGAAGAACCTGTGGTCAAGGAAAATTTTTGTCAGTTGCTATGAGTATTAAATGAGATATTGACTGTGAACATTCTTGGGAGAATATAACATAATGTCTTAGTATCAGTGGACACATTCATCCATGTAACCAATCATATCCCTTCTCCTCCTCCAAAATGCTTATTAAAATTCTTCCTTAAACTGGGTCCCAACTACTAAACAGCCTGCCACTCAGTGATAACACCCACTACATTATGTGCCAGTTATTTTACATAACATTTCCTTCCAACAACCCTATTAGGAAATACAATTTTACAAAAGCAGCTCAGAAAGTTTAGGTATCTAATCAAGGTCACACAGCCAGTGAGGGGCAGAGGCCACGTTTACATTCAACTCTGATGATTGTTACCTGGTTCCATTAAAGAAACTCCTTTTGCCTTTTAAATGGTTCGGTTAAAAAGAAAACTGATTCTTAAGACACCAGACATATTCCTTACTCATGGTTTTCTTTCTTTCTTTTTTTTGAGACTCTAACAATATTCTAAGATATTAGAAGGGCAAGAGTCAAGTTATGCATCCTTCAGTTTATGAAACATTTCTATGGCACCACTATGCGACGTAGATATTTAAGGAAATTGCACCTGGCCACGGGGATCAGGACACAGACTGGTAAATGCTAAACCGTCCACTCCAGAAAGAGACCAACAATCATGCAGTCTGAAATGGTTTCAAGAAAGGTTTTGCTGTTATTTGTTTGTTTGGGGTCCTCGCCACGAGGCTTGTGGGATCTTTGCTGCCCTACAGGCATCAAACCCATGCCTCCTACAGTGCAAGCCGGGAGTGTTAACCACTGGACCACCAGGCAAGTCTCTCAAGGAAGATTAGAATTGGGCTCGATCTTAAAGGATACCGATTCTGAGAAGGAAACAGAGGGGGCACTCCAGGGTAGAACGTGGGGAGCAGGAAAAGTAGAAGCGTGTGTATTCCTGAAAATCGGTGTGTACATTGTCACAGAGCTTGAGTGACAGTTTTGTTCATCCGCTGACGTTACTGTAAACGAAGGCTAACTTGGAAGTTTAAATGTCCGAAGTAAGACCGCCTGGTCAAGTAGCGATGAACGGTGATCCACGCGGCGATCCTGGTGCCTTTAGGCCCCTTAGCGACACTCTCGAGTCCTAGTACCTGAAACCACTACAAGTTTGAGGCATAATCGTTCGCCTCTCTACAACGCTCGGCCAAACTCTATGACTCTCGAGGGCGACGCTCACCTAGCCGCCGCGCACGCGCGACGTCCTTCTTTCCGCACAAAGGCTGCGGGAGGAGGGGTCGGCGCAAGCGCTCTGAGCTTCTTAGAAAATAGGGTCATTATCTACCCTCCTGGCGCAGGCCAGGTATAGAAACGCATGCGCCATGAGGACGTCCGAGACTTATTTCACGCGGTGATGACGTAATGACAGGAGGAGGTGGCCCATGAACGGAAGCCGGGAGGGAACCAGGGCGGAAGGGGACTAGGGCCAGGCTTGTGTTCGGTTCCTTGGCGGGGCTGGGGTTCCGATGTGGTCCCCGGAACGGGAGGCCGAGGCCCCGGCTGGGGGAGACCCGGCGGGCCTACTGCCCCCCGAGTGGGAGGAGGATGAGGAGCGCATGTCCTTCCTGTTCTCCGCCTTCAAAAGGAGTCGCGAGGTGAACAGCACCGACTGGGACAGCAAGATGGGCTTCTGGGCGCCGTTGGTGCTGAGCCACAGCCGCCGCCAGGGGGTGGTGCGCCTGCGTCTGCGGGACTTGCAGGAGGCCTTTCAACGCAAGGGCAGCGTCCCGTTGGGGCTGGCCACCGTGCTGCAGGACCTGCTGCGGTGAGGGCGGGCCCGGCCGGGGGGCGGGGCGGCTCCCCGCGGGCAGCGACCCAGGCCGTTCTCCCGGGCGCACCGCGCCCAGTCTCGGGTCTGGCTTCCAGGAGCCGTGTGTGTTTGCTCAGTGGGCGAAGGACGCCAGGTTAGGGGTGTTTGGAGGGAATGAGAGGTGGGGTATGGAGGAAATTGAGGGGCCAGGATAGCCTGATTAGATGCGATCCAGACGGTAGGAGGAGAAGCCAGCCTGGCCGAGGTGACAGTGATCTGGACTGGAATCCCGATATGTAGGGGCTTCCAAATTTGAATAACCCCACAACAGAAGGTCTGCGAGACAGGATTTATCGAACTAAGGAAGGGCGGAGCTAAGAAGAAAGTAGTAGTGGGGGAGAGGTGTGTAGGGACCTTACCAACAGCCCCCCGGCACAGGTATTGTGTCTGGCCTGTCTTGGCTTGTCCTTGGCACAGGCTGTTTAGAGCGGAGGACATGACTGAGTATCTTGGTGATCCGAGAAGGTCCTGTAGGTGCTACCTGTGCGACAGGTTGCAGGGTTTTACTAGGTTCCTGAGGTTGGTAGCGTGAACATCTAACAGATGTAAAGCACTTTGCTGTGTGCAGGTATTTTACGTACACCATTTCATCTGGCTCCCTCAGCAGTCCTGCGGTGACAGAATTATCCTCTCAAACAGAAGAAGCTGAGTCTGAGAGAGATGGAGCAACTTACTGGGGCTTACACAGACGGTTAGAGGTTATGGCAGGGCTGGACCTGGGGTCCTCTGAGTCTTAAGCATTTGCACTCATGTTGTATATGTCATATCCTGAGTGGCCTTTCTAGCACAGTGACTTCGTGGGAGACTGAAGAAAGTCAACTTTGATATGTTGCTTTTAGTTCAACCCTCTTCCCAATTAAGAGATCTTCCTCCCTCCCGAGAGTCCCCTTCCCTTGACTGACATTGATGGGGCAAGCCATTTCTGGAGCTTCTTTCTAGGACAGTTTCCATTCATGCACCACATGGGGCACAGAGTAGACAGCTGAAAAAGTCAGTGAGGGGCAGAAAGAATCTGAGCTTCCTTATTACAACAGGACCATCCTCTCCCACTTCCTACCCAGAGACCTGTGGTACCTCTATTTCTCCTCTCCTGACTGCTGGCACCCCATTGATGCCTCCTGATGTTTGTCAGGGTCTGGGACCTGAAGAATTTCGGAGGGAGACATATTTCCATAGAAGCAGCATAGCAGAGTAGTTAACAGCTTTGATTGAGGGCCAGATGGCCTGGGTGCAAATCCTGGCTCTACCATATGCTAAATTATGTGACCGAGGGAAAAATATGTACCTCTCCATAAGCCTCAGTTTGACCAGTTATAAAACGTGATTGTACTTAGATTTATTTTGTGTATTTGAAGAAATACTCCTTAGCACCCCTTAGCATAGTGACTGGCCCATAGGAAGCATTCAGTAAATTTAGCTACTTATTACTAGGACTGTGAAATGCTTCTCCACCCAAGCTTAGGACTAGCAGAAAACCCTTTCTCTGAACGGCTTTGTCTTCATCCTCATATCTTGCCCTTGACACTAATCTATTATTATTTTGAGCTCCGTTCTTCGAGGGAAGTCTCAACACAGGCCCTATGGACTCCTGTGTCTCTGGAGCCTTATCAGCTTGCATTTTGGAGCCAAATTATAGTTTAGCTTTGGCCTCTGTCATCTTCTCAGTCCCTCAGTTTTCTCTTGCCAAAAATTGCTGTGAGGCTTGGAGCTGCAGTGTAAACAGCGCTGCTCACAGTAGCTGACATGAAGGTGCCTGGTAAATGGTGCTTATGAAGATGACGATTGCATTCCTCTTTGGGCTGAGGAGGGAGGTGGGGCCATTGCAGTAAAGCCTACCACCTGCCCTTTTCTTTCTTTACCGGCAGTCGAGGGGAGCTGCAGCGGGAGTCCGACTTCATGGCCAGTGTAGACAGCAGCTGGATCTCCTGGGGGGTCGGAGTCTTCCTGCTGAAGCCCCTCAAGTGGACTCTTTCCAACATGCTAGGGGATCATAAGGTTCCTGCCGAGGAGGTGCTTGTGGCTGTGGAGCTTCTTAAGGTGGGTGATCAGGAGAGGTCTGGGTGTCATCTGGGGTGATGACAGGACCCTCCACGTTTCTTGGGTGGCTTGGGTGAATCATTAGAGAAAGAACGGATCTTTTCTAAGGGGTTGACAGAGCTGATAACTGAGTTTATCTGACCTTCCTTTTGCTCTACTTTGTAGCAATGAGTTGTTGGTTGGACTTGTACATTTCAAGGCTGAGCCTCTATCTAGAAATTGTCAGTTACACACAGCTGAGTAATTTCTATATTTATAGGGATTAATGATAAACTAAAGTTGAGAAAACTTGGTTGCCATTTCCTCTTTCAGCTTTGCCCTCCCCTAAATCAGTAGACTGGGCTTCCCTGGTGGCTTGGTGGTAAAGAACTCGCCTGCCAGTGCAGGAGATACGGGTTCAATCCCAGGATGGGGAAGATCCCCTGGAGACGGAGATGGCAAACCACTCCAGTATTCTTGCCTGGGAAATCCCATGGACAGAGGAGCCTGGGTCAAAAAAAGTCCATGGGTTCCTACAGTCCATGGGTTGAAAAAGAGTTGGGCACAACTGAGTGACTAAACAGCAACAACAGATCAGCAGAATCGGCCCAGATGTCCTTCCTTGTCACTCATTCACCACTATCAAAGAAACCGCCAGGCTCCTTTCCTTTCATGCTCTTCTGGTCATTCAGCTTCCTCCTGGCCTGCTTTCTGTCCGAAGCCCAGAGCGTGCAGCTGATGCTTGACTGCTTCTCCCATCTACACCCTCGGCTCCTGTGCAGCTCTCTCGGGCCATACCGGGGACATCAGCAAATCAGCCCTTAGATCAGCCCCATGGCCCTTCATTTCTGCCAGAAAAAATTGCTCTCTCACCAGGAGTGGGGCCCCTTTCAAGGTCCCCAGCTTTAGGAGGGCCCTCGGAGCCACTCTGCTGCCTCGTGTTCTTGTCCCCCTCCCCCCCCCCCCCGCCACCACGCGCTTCATGTTCTCTGCAGACACTGCACTGAGAACAGAATCCCCTTAGTCGCACCTTCAGCTGTCTGTCTTCCCACTCCCAATTTGACCTCCTCTCCGCCCTGCTTCCTCCCCCAGCTCAGAGGGTGAAGTGTCCTTCCTCTGCCCCCTGTGTGCTCAAGTCTGTCCCTGCCCTTCGTGGCGTCAGTGACCCTCCCGATCTGTGTATTCCTTCCCCCTCTGTCATGCTCTCCTTCTTCAGCCTATAAACCCACCCCAGCCTTCCCATCTCAGGATGACTCCTTGTGGGACCTGGGGCCCTGACTGGTCACTACTCTATCTCCCCTTCGCAGACAAGCTTTGCTGTCCCCACATCTTTACTTCCACACACACTTTTTTTCAAGATTATTTTTATTTTATTTTTGGCTGTGCTGGATCTTTGTGGCTGCGAGAGGGCTATATCTAGTTGCAGGCAGCAGGGTCTCTTCTCTAGTTCTGGTGCACAGGCTTTGAATTGTGGTGGCTTCTCCTGCTGTGGAGCACGTGGGCTCAGTAGTGGTGGCGTACGGGCTTGGTTGTTCCGTGGCATGTGAGACCTTCCCTGACGAGGGATGGAAGCCATGTCCCCTGCGGTGCAAGGCAGATTCTCAACCCCTGGACCCGCAGGGAAGCCCTCCACCTACTCTTTAACCCAGGGCAGACCTGTGTCACCCCCACTGCTCCCCCTGACTGCGGCGGGCAAGGTTACAGTAACCTTAAGTGTGTATATGTGTGTGTGTGTGTGTTTACAAAGTTGACTGAACACAGTGTCTATAAAGTAGACTTGCAGACTGTGGTTATTTTTGAAACTCACCAAGCCCAACCTTCCCTGTTGGCTCAGTGGTAAAGAATCTACTTGCAATGCAGGAGACCCGGGTTTGCTCCCTGGGTTGAGAAGACCCCTTGGAGAAGAGAATGGCTACCCACTCCAGTATTCTTGCCTGGAGAACCCCATGGACAGAGGAGCCTAGCAGATTGCAGTGCATGGGTTGCAAAGAATCGGACTCAACTGAGTGACTAGCATTTGAATGACATAATCACTTGAAGTCCGGCCTCAGAGCCCTGGAGGCTTCCACACAGCTGGGGCCAGGTCACAGCCCCCAACCCCTAGCCCATGAGAAGCTCCAGCTTCTCCTCACCTCGACAGACAGCCCTCCTCCTTGCCACCTCAGCCTGGGGATCAAGTCTCCAAAACCTACCTGCTCTCCGTGTCCCCTGCGATTTTTGACTAAGCAGCATGATTTCCTTCAGGAAAACTCCTCTCCCCCTTTGCACTGCGCTCCCTCCCAGCCTCCAGGGCTCAGCCAGGGACAGACAGAAACTGCTTGGTGGTTGGAGTTGTTCTGGGCCAGCTCTGTCCCTCCCTGTGGCCTTTTACCTCAGGTGTGCTCCATCCTGGAGCAAAGGGAGGTCCACCCATTTATCCTCACAGATGTGGTTTTGGACTCAGTGTTTTGAGAGCGAAGGCAGAGATGTGGGTAGATGGGAGTGCAATCACCAAAACCTAAGAACCAACAACTTTTGACAGCAAAGTAGTCTAATCCTCTTTAGGTAGATAAATAAATCTGGCTCTTCAGGGGCATGGACTGTTAAGTTAAATCTGTACTCAGCTTACATCACTGCACAGAACACTTTGACGCTTAATCTCATTCGATGACATCTGCTATCAAATATATGGTGACTTCAGATACATGGATTTCTCCTGGGAAGGAGACTTGTTTTCATTTGTGAAAATAAAGGGTCTTATCTGGATATTTTTATAAAACAAAGAAAGCCTGTTTCTGAGGTAAATTGACTTTCCCAAGTCTAAACGCAGAAAGCAGTCAGCAAGTTTTAATCTTATTTGAAAAAAATACAAAACAGTAAAAATTCCCCATAGATTTTGTGATTTGAAGAAATTGTACAAATAAAATTTCCTTTCTTTTCATCCCATCTCCACCTCTTTGGGTACATTCCCTTCCCAGTTCTTGTTTGCAGAAGCACACATCCCTTCTTATTGACCTTATTATGTTACTTTCCATTTTATCTTCTTGTTAGCATTTAGTACTTCCTGAAAATCTTATTTACTTGTATTTTATCTTTCTCCCCCACCAGAAGGGAGAAGTTTCATGGGCCCTGGGAACAGTGCCTGGTACATAGTAGAGAGTCAGTAAATATTTGTTAACACAGTAAGTCAATATACACATACATAATTTGTTGTTGTTTGGTCGCTCCATCATGTCTGACTCTTGGTGACCCCGTAGACTGTAGCCCACCAGGCTCCTCTGTTCGTGGGATTCTCCAGGCAAAAATACTGGAGTGGGTGGCCATTTCCAGGGGATCTTCCCAACACAGGGATGGAACCTGTGCTTTCTGCATTGGCAGGTGGATTCTTCACCACTGAACCACCAGGGAAGCCCATATACATACATACGTATGTACATTTTTTTCTAGAAATGTTACCTTATTTTACCTATTAGTCTACAATCAGCTTTTCTCCCCCCACCTTAATATATCATGAGCACCCTTCTAGGTCCCTACATGATACAGATCTACTTCATTCTTTTGGATGGCTGCATAATAATCTATGGACCTGCCACAATTTATCCAATAATTACTACACAAATGGATATTTAAGTCATTCCAGTTTCTCTCTGTTACAAAGAAATACTTCTTCGACAGCCTTGTGCCTACATGTATGCTTTTCACTTTTCTTTTATAGAAATGTATATGCACATTTTAAGTTTTAACAGAAATTACTAAACTACTTTTCAAAAGTTTGTATTAATTTATACTTTCATGAAGATTATATTAACGTACCCAGTCTCCTCATATCCTTGCTGGCACTGGATAACATCAGTCTTTTAAATTTTGTCAGTTTGATGAATAAAAATACTTCCTTTTTGGAATTTGAGCATCTTTTCCCCTATCCACTGGCTATTTACATATCCTCTTCTGTGAATTGCCTCTTTATAGCCTTTGCCTGTTTTTATTTTGGATTCTTTGTCTTTTATTATTGGTAGGAGTTTTCTATTTATTAAGGATAATAAATGTGTGTGTGTGTGTGTATGCTTAGTCACTCAGTCACGTCCAACTCTTTGCAACCCCATGGACTGTAGTCTGCATGGGAGACCCAGGTTTGATCCCTGGGTTGGGAAGATCCCCTGCAGGAGGGCATGGCAACTCACTTCACTTTCTTGCCTAGAGAATCCCATGGACAGAGGAGCCTGGCTGGCTACAGTCCATCCATGTGGTTGCAAAAAACTGGACATGACAGAGCAACTATACTTTCATATATATATATATATATATATATACACACACATATATGTATACATATAAGATATATTTAGTATTAAGAATTTAATATTGTCTCTCAGTTTCTTGTTTTCATCTTTACTTTTGATGTCTTTTACCATGTAAAAGTTTTTATATTTCTATAGATGTTTCAATTTTCCTTTTCAACTACTGAATTTCTGCTCTTGCTTAGAAAGACATAACCCTCTACTTCAAAGGTTAATAAGATTTTTTTAAAGCATTTTCTTCAAATATTTTATGCTTTCATTTCCTCAGTTTAAATGTTAATAACGTAGTAGGTATGTTTGTATATGTGGTAAAGAAGACTTAGACCTTCATTCTGCTGCTCGTGACTGTTCCTCTTCCTGAGATGACCTTCCCACCATTACCTAGTGACTTACCTATTCTGCTCAACAACGATTTTTTTCTGAGCAATTGCTGAATTCCTGGGTAGTCCTTCTCTGTATTTTCATAGCATCCTGTGCATACTTCAGTACATATTTCTTATTTGCAGAAGACCAAAGAGTAATTTCCATGAAGGAGGAAGACAGTGGCATTGTTTCTTAGAACCTGTATTTCTTAGACTTCTCATCTAAGTCTAAAAATTACTAAGTTTTCACAAAAATCCCATCCCATACTTCCCTCTTGAGGCTCTTTCTAGACTCAGTACTATTCCAGTTTGCAGGATTGCCATTTGCCATAAAAGTGGAGAGACCAGGATTGGCATGGAGTCCGGACATCATCTCCATCCACCTTCTACAGCTTGCCAAGGACCAGTGAGGCTGACTGGTCTAGCATCACGCAGGCTGGCCTGACCACCAGCCTTGGCTTTTCATCCGTGGCCAGGCCACCACACCACACTGCCTCATTCTCCCCTTGGGGGACCATAGGCAAGGGAGATGCAGGAACACGGAGTCCCAAATGGAAGGGCAAGCCCAGAGTTGGCTCCCAACATATCATGTACCTCACTTCACCCATGTTCACCAGACATTGCTCTAAGGTTTAAAAAAGGAATCCTTTTTTCTTTTCCAAAGCTGAGGACAGGTTGGGTGCGCCCCTGCCCTTACCTCGCGTGATCATGGATCTGAAGCATGGGCTCCAGGCGCTCAGGCTTCTGGGGGCAGCGATCCTCCCCACAGGCACTTTGCACTTCCCCTGCAGGAGAAGGCTGAGGAGGTGTACCGTCTGTATCAGAGCTCCCCGCTCTCCTCGCACCCCGTGGTGGCCCTGTCGGAGCTCAGCACCCTGTGTGCTGGCTCCTGTCCGGATGAGAGGACCTTCTACTTGGTGTTGCTGCAGCTGCAGAAGGAGAAGCGGGTCACGGTCCTGGAGCAGAATGGGGAGAAGGTACGGGAATGCGTCCCTCTCCCCTCACCCCCCGAGACCTTGTCCCCTGTGTGCTGACATCACCGGCAGCACCCCTGCCCAGCGGTTTCTCAGCATGTGGGGTCAGAGCAGCAGTAATCTGTCCCTGTCCCTTCAGATCGTGAAGTTTGCCCGAGGCCCCCACGCCAAGGTCTCGCCTGTCAATGACGTGGATGTGGGGGTCTACCAGCTGATGCAGAGTGAACAGCTGCTGTCCCGCAAGGTGGAGTCCTTATCCCAGGAAGCCGAGAGGTAACTCCCCCTAAGCTGAGTGCCCCCGACCCCACCCTGGCTGACCCTCAAAGCTGGCAAAGCACTGGCGACCATGGGCTCTTTAAAGAGAAGAATTAAGGATATAGTTTGCTGATTAGGAAAGTACTAACTGCTCAGTGCAACAGTCACAGAAAGCACCAATTATCACAAAGGAACACAAAATGAATTCTTCCCCCTACAAGTGCAGCTGTTTATGTGCACTGTGTTTATGTTCTTCCAAGCCATCATCCATTTAACCAGTGTTTACTGAGCCAGGCCTTATCTTGGGGATACGTTGAGTTGGCCGAAGAGTTCATTCGGGTTTTTTTGTAAGACCTTACAGAAAACCCAAATGAACTCTTTAGCCAGCCCAGTAGTAGTGAATGAGCCAGGAATATACAGCCTTCTGGGGGTCTTGGTGAGGGACCTCTGCCCTTCCCCTCCAATGACCATGCAAGACATCTCTGCTGAAGACACATAAGCACTTCCCCGAAACGTAGGATATATAGATGCAGAATCAGAATGTGCTTGTTCACACCACCCTCTTACAGCGGGAGAATCCCCACCTTGTGGGAATGCCAAGGTCATTGGAGGTGTTAGGAAGTCGCTCCCTGCCTGCTGGCTTTCCAGGTGGTGCTAGTGGTAAAGAATCTGCCTACCAATGCAGGAGACATAAGAGACTCGGGTTTGATCCCTGGGTCGGGAAGATCCCCTGACGGGGGAGCATGGCAACCCACTCCAGTGTTCTTGCCTGCGAAAATCCCATGGACAGAGGAGCCGGGCGGGTTATAGTCTGTGCGGTCACAAAGAATCAGACACGACTGAAGCAACTTAGCACACCCATGCTAGCCCCCAGGATGGCAGTCTCTTTAAGGCACCTTGTTGACCTGTTTTCCCTCTCTGTGAATTGAAATAACTTTTCCTTGGTCATTTGCCTTCCCCACATGCAGACCCCCCCTCCCAGCTCATAACCTGCTGCAGCGGTTTGGCCGTGGGCAGTTGGGCATCGTTTTTCTGGCCACTGGATGAAATGAATTTGCTCTTCAGATTTGAAAAGTACCTTCACCAAAAGTGCTACTTGTGGGGACACTTGAGGATCCTGCCACCCCCCTCCTATGGCCTCATCATCTTCAGCTGTCCCTTTGTTTGTAGGTATAAAGAAGAAGCCCGCCGGGCATGCCGAGCAGGGAAGAAGCAGCTGGTGAGTTTTCTTTCCTCACTCCTCACCCCCAGCTGTGAGGAGCCCAGTTCAGAGAGCAGCCTTCTCGAGGCTAGAGCAGAACGTCTGGCTGGCCCAGGCATCATGATGGCTTGCTTTACAAACCTGGGGTGGGTCTTACCTTCTGAGAAGGGCTCTCTTCCTCGGGCCCTTTGGCCTACCTGGTTTGGCCTTGACCATGTCTCCATGCCCCACCAGGCCCTGAGGTCTCTCAAGGCCAAGCAGCGGACAGAGAAACGCATCGAGGCCCTGCATGCCAAGCTGGACACAGTTCAAGGCATCCTGGACCGGATCTATGCCTCGCAGACAGATCAGATGGTAGCCACCACCCGTCCACCCCAGTGCTTGGCCAGTTCTGCGTGGTGTCGCCCCTCCTCCATTCCACTGAGGCTTTGCTGTTTGGAGAAGGCTGGGGTTCTTTCAGGATATGGTTGGGACTGCTTTTGCCCTTCCTGTTGGGAAGTTTTGGGCTCAGTTGACATGGGGTGAATCGTGCATGGGTAAGGAGAAAAAAACCCAAAGCTGTCGTCTGGAGACGGAACAATGTGGTCTGTATTTTGCCCAGTGCTCTTCATCTGCACTGACCACTGCTTTCTCTTTAGGTTTTCAATGCCTATCAGGCCGGGGTGGGAGCACTGAAGCTCTCCATGAAGGATGTCACAGTGGAGAAGGCGGAGAGCCTTGTGGATCAGATCCAGGAGGTATGGGGGTTGGGCAGGGCACGTCCCTACACTGGACACTTCTGAGGACAGAGGTGACTTTGTTGTACTGACACTTATTTCTTTCCCCAACTGCTGACCTTGTGAGCTTGAGGAAGCTTTCCCTGATTCCCAGATGGGGCAGCACTACTTTGTAACCCTAAACATTGAAACCCAAAGACTAAGATCCCCAGAGACGCATTCAGAGTTCACGGCCTGGCACTTTTCTCTTGCAGCTGTGTGACACCCAGGATGAAGTTTCTCAGACACTGGCTGGCGGGGTAACCAACGGCCTAGGTGAGTTGACAAGATGACTCTGTCGTCTTTCCTCTCTAAGCAGACTTCGCCTCCCTGTGCGGGGATAGGTCTGGCCAGGATCTGTTCTCCTAGTGCAGGCAGAGCCTCTCCCCCGTCTCCAGGGCTTCTCTGCAGGAGTAATGGGAAGGAATTGGCCTTTCCTCCTTGACAGGCTGTTGACCAGCCCCTCGGCACTCCAGGGCCCCTTACTCCCTGGGCGTCTTCCAAAGGCAAGGAGAAGCAGGTTCAGTTCCTTGGTGTAAACGAAATATACCTCCTCAATGACTTAGCTCTGTGTGTGGACAAAGAGTAACTGCTCAAAGGTACCCCCTACCTCCCGGCTCACACGACTGATTTACTGATTGACTGGCCGTGCTGAGTCTTTTTTGCTGCACATGGGCTCTGTCTAGTTGCAGGGTTCGGGCTCCTCCTGTGGGGCGTCTCCTGTCCCGGAGCACGGGCTCTCTGCAGTGCGGGCTCAGTAGTTGTGGCGCGTGGGCTTCATTGCCCACGGCCTGTGGGATCTTCCTGGACGAGGGATTGAACCTGTGTTCCCTACATTGGTAGGCAGACTCTTAACCACTTGACCACCAGGGAAGCCCAGCACACAGTTTCTTTTAATAATCCTTCACGAAGACCCAGGCATCTTTTGTAAAGCTGAGCTGGGTTTGCTGTCCACAGTCCTTGATCATTAATGCATTTCCTCCCTGGACTGCTGTGTGTTCTTACTTCGTCTTTTCTCACCAGACTTTGACAGTGAGGAACTGGAGAAGGAGTTGGACATCCTGCTTCAGGACACCACCAAAGAACCTTCGGATCTGCCTGACAACCCCCAGGAGACGTTTTATATCAACAGTGTGCCTAACACTAGGATCTCAGATGCCGAACTTGAAGCTGAACTTGAGAAATTGTCCTTATCGGAGGGAGGTAGGGAGATGTGTTTCCAGGGTGGCTGGTGGGCTTGTGACCCTCAGGCTCAAGGTTAATGAGTCCCAGCACTCTTGCTGCATCTGCCAGGGTACCAAATGGGAGAAGGGGGTCCTGGGCTCCTTATTTATATTAAGACTCAATCCTTTAAACACTGGGGTGCTTTCATCTCAGAGATCTGCCATAGAGTTCAGCCATTTCTTCTCCCTGCAGGTTTGGTCCCAAGCAGGAAATCTCCAAAAAGACAATTGGAACCGACTCTCTAAAGCCATTGTAGGACCCTCAAGTGAAGAACCCTCACATCAGAGAGAGACCAGGCTTGCGTGTATGTGTGTGTGTGTACATAGTTATTTAAACGAGAAACTCGGAATGTGTTGGGAAGAGGAGGAAGGACAACCGCTGCTGCATCTGGATGCCACCACTTACCATGGGACAGATAGAGTTTCTGGAAGCGTGCACCCAAGGTGTGCTGCCAGCCGGGGTCACGGCCCTGCCTCCTCAGCTTCCTAGTGCCACAGTTTATACGGTTCTGTGTGCGCCCTGTCGCCTCTCATAGCCTGCAGTCCTGCCACGGGCTCAGCTAGGTTTGGCTTCCCCCACCAGCGTCATTCTGGCCAGTGAAGGCGAAAGATTTCGTGCAGTTTTGCCAAATCAGAGTCTGTCCTTATGGCCCCTCCCCGCCCCCCGCCGTGTTTAGAGGAGTTTATTCTGTCTCTTGGTCCGTTACACAGCTCTCAGCCCCTCTCTGTTCCCCCTGGTAATGAGAAGGAGGAGAATCAAACAGCTGCCACTTAAAGGAGAAATGCACAGTGTAAAACAAGGAGGGAAATGCCAATTCCTTCCCATTACTCCTGTGGAGAAGCCTGGGAGAGAGGGGAGTGGGGAAGAGCCCTTCCTGCACTGGGGCTCCCTGGGGTCCGTTGTCAGATTCTCCAGGTGTTCAGAAAGAGAGGTCACCCCCAAGTGGCTCAGAGTCATGACAGTTGGAGGGGGGGTATCCTGGGGTTGATGGACACAGCTGCCTCTTCCATCTTATGCAAAAGAACATCTGCTGACTGGAGAAAGGGTTACTCTGGGTCTTTTGAACTTGAGAGAAGCCCAGGTGACTATAGGGCCCCAGGAATCCGAACCCCATCTGCTTTCTTAAAAAGGTATCTTTGCCTTGCCCCCATCGTGAATAGCTTAAATATAACTTTAACACAAATCAGAAGAATCCACACAACAACTCACCTCCCCTTTGTGAGCCTGGCAGAGAAACACAGGTTCTTTGTTTGAATTTCAGAAGCATCTTATGTTGTGGCCCAATGCTCAGGGCAGGGCATCTGAGCCAGGATGTGCAATAGAAGCAGAAGACGGTGGCCTTGGCCATGTCAGCTGTGTGCTTCCCCGGTCCTGCTCTGCACCCAGCCCCACCTCCTGGAGGCCCATCTTCCTACTTCCTTTGACAAATAGGGGAGGATGGTGGGGGGACAGGCAGGAGAGGGTCTGCATGTGCTGGCAGCAGGGAGAAGACAGAACACCAGCCACACCGCTGCCCTGCACGCGGTCCCAGATGCCTGCCTGGCCCCTGGCCCTACCCCTCCCGCTGGGGGTGGCGGAGAGCGAGGGGAGGCATCTGCTCCAGGCCAGGAGCACGATCACTGTTCCACAAATTTCTCTCCCACTCGGCCTTGGGAAACTGATATGTTGGGGGTAAAAAGAAACAATCACTATTTTTTCTTTTTTTATCTGGTAAATAATTAAAAGAAAAAGCCCAAGCGCTTTGTCTTCCTCTCTCTTATTTTTTCTCCTTTGAACTATTTTTTTTTTTTGTACTGGGGTATATGGGCTTCCTTGGTGGCTCAGTTGGTAAAAAATTTGCCTACAATGTAGGAGACTCAGGTCTCGTCCTTGGGTGGGGAAGTTCTGGAGAAGGGAATGGCTACCCACTCCAGTATTCTTGACTGGAGAATCGCATGGACAGAGGAGCCTGGCAGCCTACAGTCCTTGGGGGCACAAGAGTCAGACACAGCAACTCCACCCACCACCACCATACTGGACTAACAATGTGATAGTTTCAGCTGAACAGCAAAGGGACTCAGCCTTAGGTATACAAGTATCCATTCTCCCCCAAACTACCCTCTGATCCAGGCTGCCGCATAACATTTAGCAGCGTTCCATGTGCTATGCAGAAGGTAGGTCCTTGTTGGTTATGCACTTTAAATATAGTAGTATGTACCTGTCCATCCCAAACTCCCTGGCTATCCCTTCCACCCCATTCTCCCGCCCCGGCAACCATAAGTTCACGATGTCTGTCCTTTAGGTTGTCCAAGTGCCTTGTTCTTGCTCCCCCATCCTCCCCTCCAGCAGACACACACTGGTGCCACAGGAGGTGACTGGCTCCCAAGCAGGTTTCCTGTGTTGCTGTGAAAGCGGTCAGCCTACCCTATCGCTCTCTGAGGCCGACACTATTATTCAACGACCTCCTTTATTGAAGAGTGGCCATCATTTTCCGTACGCTCTTCTTTTCCCAGCTCTCTCCTCTGCCTGTGTGACCATGTTTTAGCCTGGCACCGGTGTTTATTGAGCACAGGTTACAACTGTGGGGTTTGCCATCCTTGCGGGGAGACAGGCTTCGAACCTGAGGGCAGAGCTGGAACAGACGGAAGTTCTGCCGCAGCAGCAGGTACGTCGGCAGGTGAGCTAGACAGGAAAAGGAGTCACGAGCAGCCTGGAGCAGAGACCGTTGGAACAGAATAGAGTGAAGATCCCTGGGTGGAGAAGATCCCCAGGAGGAGGGGAGTGGTGACCCACTCCAGTATTCTTGTCAGAAATCTCAGACGGAGGAGTCTGGCAGGCTACTGTCCTCGGGCCTGCAGAGCAGGACACAGCTGATACACTGCACACACAGTGAAGATGGGCCAGGTTCTCTGACGTGGAGGTGGAGTAGGGAACCCACTCCACCTCCCCAAAAAGTTAAGTGCCCAGACTATGACCCTCTTATCCGTTCTCCTGTTACTTTCTCCTGTTGACCTGAGCTGCTAAGGTCCTGGTTTCGATGTTTCAGCCTGGTTCTTCACTATGGGACAGGAAATTAAAAGAAGAGGTTTGAGTCTGGGCTGGATCAGACTGAAGAAAGGAAGCCACCCTCTGGTGGTGACTGCATTTTCAGCATGGGATCCCCATGGGGGGCCTGGGTCTGGCCTCAGGATTCTCCTCTTGGAGCTGACTCAGTTTACTAAGGGGATTGGTGAGTTTCCCTCTGTGTGGAGAGAAATCACATCTCTGGAGATGAATCAGGTTCAGACACTGCCCTGTGGGGTCCAGACACAGCATTGACTTAAGGGCTCAGGGAGGCTTCATTTAAAGAGACTACAGCCAGGTTCTCATTTCCCTTGAATACTTCCTAGGACTTTTAGAATCTCGTTAAGTAATCTACGAGTTTTGGTTGAGAAAATGTAACGAATCAGGTGGGGACTGGTCCTGCCTGGGCATCAGGAAATCTGTTTTCAGTTCTCACCTTGTTTGTGAGCGTTCAGTCGTGTCTGACTCTTTTGCCACCCCATGGGTTGTAGCCTGCCAGGCACCTCTGTCCATGGGATTCCCCCTCCAAGGCAAGAATACTGGAGTGGGTTGTCATTTCCACCGTAGCCACTAACTAGTAGCTTTGGAAACCAGCCTCTCACTTCTTATCTGTAAAGAGCAGACAAGGTGACTCAGGAAATTCTGACTCTCTTAAGATCTCTCTGGGTGGTCTGCTTCTCCCTTCTCTTGAATCCTTGCTGTCTTGTGGTGGGCACTGGGGAAGTGCCACAGAAAATGCCTGGGAAAGTGGCTGGGGAGTCCCTGGTCCCTGCCAGCTGGGGACATCGATGTGTGTGGAGGGCGTTGGGTGGGGGTGGGGTTGCTGGGAAGAAAGGGGGTGAGGTGCAGCCTCAGAACCTTCTGGGCCTCCCAGAAAGCAGCTCTCGGCCAGAGGCCTGCGGCTGGGTGGGCTCTGAGGTTGGTCACCCAGTCGTGGGAGGGCCCAGGAAGAGCGAAGCTTACGTGATAATAACTGTTGCCTGCAGGGTGGAGAGAGCATCCCAGGTTGAGTAGACCCCAAGAAAGAGATCAGGATGTTCTGGTTCAATCTGCTGGAAAGTCATCAAGGCCATTGGAAAAGAGCCATTTAGAAGGATGTGGCCATTGGCAGAGCTGCTGACGCAAAAGGAATCCAAACGCAACTTGGCCTTGGGGTTGATGGGGGAGTTTGGCAACCCTCTTTTCTTTTGAAGTATTTTACTGTTTTCTCTACCAGCGTCTCATTTTGACTCAAGTTGCAGCTACTCTTTGGGAGAAGTGGGGTTCCTTTTATCCTCCTACATAGAAACAATAGGCACCCGATACCCAAGGATGAGACTCTGAAGGAGCCTCAGCAATTGGAGGCGAAATCATGTTTTCATAGACAAGGACACGGAAGCTTAGGCAACTGGCCCAAAGCATAGAGTTCACAGGGGAATTCAGGACTGCTAACTTCCAGGCTATTCTTTGTGTTACACTAGGCTCTTCCTAAGGCCGACTGTCCAAACCACATCACTCCAAAGTACTTTCTGTGGTTGGTGTTGGGTATGTGGGTGGTTGGTGGTCAGTTGTGTCTGTGCTTTGAGCTGGCAGATCAGCTTCTGGCTGTCAGCGCTGTGATTACACAGACTTCTGCGGGTAGAAAACCGCCTCCTAACTGGCTGACCAGTTTCCAATTTTGAGGAAAACAAAGGACAGTCTTCACATGGTTCCTTTGCTGATAGGCAAACTTGAATCTTTTTTATTTGTATTTTGTAGCAGCCACATCAACGGTGCAGAAAAATTACAGCTCTGGGCTGCACAACAGTTCCTAAAGGACCGAGACTCAGGGCCCTCATGAGATAACCAGGGGGTGATTAGATGACACCAACCATTCCCCAAGGGACCCCCAAAGCGTGTCATGAACTCCTGCTGCTCTTTAGTCACTCAGTCGTATCCAACTCTTTTGCGACCCTATGGTCTGTAGCCCGCCAGGCTCCTCTGTACATGGGATTTTCTAGGCAAGAATACTGGGGTGAATTGCCATTTCCTCTTCCAAGGGATCTTCCCAAGCCAGGGATGGAATGGGTGACTCCTGCGACTCCTGCATTGGCAGGCAGATTCTTTACCACCTCATACTGCAGCATGGATCACACCTCAGCTAGTAGATTCCCACTGCTCTGCATGTGTGATGAATGTCGGCTGGCTTACTGGGTGATCACATGATAGGCTAACCTAGAATAATAGAAACATATTTAGATTATACATGTTGGAAGAGAATTCAGGCAGGCAAAATATCGTGCTGCAGTTCTAAACCCAGGAAAGTTAAAAATGAACAAATCCAGGTTTTTGTGCCTGTGATATATGAATTAACAAAGCAGTGGAGGAAAGAAGAAAATGTAATTTTATCTATTTATTGATGGCTGTGCTGGGTGTTCACTGCTGCGTGCGGGTTTTCTCTAGTTGCAGCGATTGAGGGCTCCTCTGTAGTTGCAGTGTGCGGGCTTCTTGTGTTGGTTCTCTTGTTGCAGAGCACAGCTCTTAAGCAAAGGCTCTGTAGTTGTGGTGCATGAGCTTAGCTGCTCCATAGCATGTAGGATTTTCCTGGACAAGGGATCGAACCCATGTCCCTGCATTGGCAGGTTGATTCTTAACCATTGGACCACCCGGACAGTCCACAAAGGAAGTTTTAGACTGGGCCCCTGCTTTCCAGGAACTTAGAGTCAGAGGAAGTGTGTCTTAGTTTAGGCTGCTATAACAAACACCACAGATTGAGTGACTACACACAGCAGCAATTTATTTCTTATAGTTCTGGAGTCTGGAAGTTGGATATATGAGTACCAGCATGGTCTGGTTCTGGTGAGGGTCATCTCTCTTCTGGGTTGCAAATGGCCCCATCTCACATCCTTACATGGTGGAAAGATGACAAGGGCAATCAATGTCTGGCATCTCCTTATAAAGGTACTAATTCCATTCACGAGGGCTCCACACTTAGGGCCTGATTACAGCTCCCAAAAGCCTTACCTCCTAATGCCATTACATTGGGGGTTAGGATTTCAACATATGAACTTTGGGGAGACACAAATGTTCAGCCTATGGTAAAGGGTAATTCCAAGATATTAGCACAATGAAGGATTAGTACAGCACTAGGCATCTGCAGGGCAGTGGGTGGCTGAGTCAGCAAGAAAATCCCCAATCTTGGACTCTGGCTCCTATTATAATGCAATCACTGTACTTTTTTTCTGTTCTAATCC